GCTGCCACCTCCATCTCAGAAAGTCACAGTGCCTTTCAGCATTGGGAATATTTGATTGCCATGGGAATGAGATATACAGAAGCAAATGTTATTTTATTTGTTTTTTTTATTACTGTTATTTGGTATTTATCACTGAAAAATACAAAAAAAAAATACACAAGCAAACAAAATGTTTTAAAAAGTGTAAATAAAACTCCTGTGCAATCATGGTACTGTCTGTTGCTGTACACAAGCATGAATGCATGTGTTGATTGCACACCTGGCTGTGAGAAGGATGTAGCTGAACCTGGGTCCCTGTGTTGATCAGGAACTCTCCGTGCTGCCTGAGACACTGGGTGCTAAACTACCTACTGTCCTTCACATAAGCAAATGAATTTATATTAAAAAAAAAAAAATATAGCTGATATTTATAGGAGTAAGTTGAACAGAGTGTCCTTATTTTTTTGGCAGGGATGAAACAATAGTGGCATATGGAGGAGAAAACCTGGCGACAGGCCCTGAACTGATGTAAATGCTGCAGGGCTGCCAGGTGAGGTAGTGTCTGGGAACTGAAGATGTTGCTGAGTATAGGACAAACAATGAAGAGTGGAGCATCTAGCATACTGCTAAACAGGAGGGATAAATAACTACAGAGGACCAGAATGACCATTTTCCCAACAGCTTTATGAATTAGAATATTTTCATAAGATTTTAGGATTGTCACTCTGTGCCTGTTGTCATGATTTTTGAGTTCTTACTCTCACCATGAAAAATTTTCCCTACCTCCTAGTTTAGGCTTCATTTTTAACAGAAACAGAACTTAAATAAGTGGACCAATATTCCTCTCACCTCAGAATATTTTAGGTCTTGTCACGACACCTCAGACCAGCAGGAACCTCAGTGGAGGGAAATTTCAGTCCAGAATTTAAAAGCGTTTACTTTGCTCCTGCTGCTTTTAATCTATTTTCTCTCCTCCTGGTGTGTATTTTTCTGCCCTGCTGTCTGTGGTGCTGCATACTAATGGAACAATACTTGGCCCGTCCCCAGAGGAAGTTGCACACAGGTTTATTGAGGAACAGAGGGGTCAGAAGGAATTTCAGGGCATCCAATAATTCTCCTACTGATGGGATGCCTTCAGGTAACAGCATATAATTTGATCTCAGCCATTTCCTATTGTTGTACCACTGCTGAAAGAGCACTGCCTCCAAAGAAATGCATCCAGCATCCTCTCCCTCATTATACATACACCTCAACAGCTTACAAGACTGTAATGTCTTTGTATTTCTTAAAAGTGCTTAGAGAAGAAGGCCTGTCCTGCCAAATCCCCTCTGCTTGTGAGTCAGGCTGACAACCTGCAGATGTTGTTTCTTGCTGTAAATAGATGAAAAAGACTGGGCTGATCTTCCAACACAGATAAGTGATTTCCTCCAGGGGGTGTAAGAAGAGTGGCAAAAGGGTTTTATTTTTAATTCTTCAGGCGATTGTTATCAGATCCTTAGCAGCACTAGCCAGCGACTGCATAGTATGCACGGTGAAAAGAGCCTTTTGCCCCAGGATCATTCCCTTTCATTCCTCAGGCCAACGCAAAGGCAATAAAAGAAGCGACGCTCCCGTTCGGCTGAGGGAGCCAAGCACTTGTGTTCCAGTATCCGGTGTTCCAGGTCACACAACTACAAGTGGGCAAACCCTAAATTAGAAGCAGGTTGATTATTATTTATCCTCGTCTCCATCCCTCGGGGTGGGGTGCCTTTCACCCCCGGCTGACAGCTGGCCGGGCGGAGCGGCAGCCGCTTCGGAGCAGCGCTGCCGCCCTCTCTCGGCTCTCCGCGCTGGAGAGCCTTCCAAAACCTCTGCATTCTCAGCACGGGCAGCCACTGAGTAACGAACAAGGAAAAAAAAAACCAAACAAACAAACACAAAAAACAAGGAGGGGGGGAATAAAAAAGGAACAAAAGAGAGAAAGGGAAAAAAAGAAACAGGAAAAAGAAGTAGGAAAAAGAAAAAGAAAAAGTAAAAAAGAAAAATATAAGAAATTTAAAAAAAAAAAAAAAAGGGGAAAAGGAAAAGAGGGGGAAGATGGTGATCTTCACAGTGCGGGTAGTCAAGCAGCGCAACAAGCTCCCAGGGAAGTGGTCATGGTTCCGAAGCTGATGGTGTTCAATAAGCATTTGGACAATGCTCTTTGATATATGGTTTCACTTTTAGGCTGCCCTGTATGGAGTCAGTAGTTGGAGTCAGTGATCGTCATGGCTCACTTCCAACTCAGGATATTCTAGGTATGCCTCTAAGTAACAGTACTAAAACTCAATTCCACTTAGTTATGGTACTTGCAGGACAGGATCTCAAAATATGGCAGCAATATATTAGAAAATGCTAACATATAATGAAATGAAAGAAGAGGAACAGACTTTTGTTGTACCCTATTTTTCCTCTCTAGGTATTTTCTAAGAGTATTAACTTAAAACAAGGTCAGACTGTATTAACTATCAGCAGTAAAACGGTATGAATTCCAACCACCAATTCTTGCTTCTGGGGCGGGGAACACGTTATGCCACACGCTGTGTAAGACAGCAGTGTAAAACACAGACAGGGAAGGGATACAGAAAACGTTATCTCTATTTCACAGTTCAGAGGAGAAGTACAGAAAAACTAAAGGGAACGCCCAAAGTCACTTATGCACTGGACTGAGCTGGGGATAGGGCACAAAACCGTAAGGGCTTTGATCTGTTCCAGCGTGGCAGCATTTCAAGGAAGCAGGAAAAGAGATGAAGGCAGCCTCTGTACCATTATGGACACAAGATTTTCCCATTTTTACTTGTAGGGGATTCTCGAGGAACAAAGACTATCCCCTCCTGTCATAAGTGCCTGGAGGTTCTCCTGACCTTTTCTCCCTCCTCCCATTTTTCTAGGTGATTAAACTGTGCACTCAGAAAGCATGACTATAATGCCAAGAAGCCAGCAATTTTAACACCACAAAGGGATAATTGTGTAATACTTCAGGCCATATTAGTTTCAGCACAGACCAACCCTCAGCCCGTGATGATGAAGTGCCAACAGCTCCCAGCACAATGACTGACAGAACTGGGACATGGCAAATTGCACTTTTGAAGCCTGAAGCAGAACAAGAGTTGGGGATTCGCTTTGCATTAAAAACAGCCTTGTACCATATTCTTAGAACAAGGGATAAAGTAGGACAGCACATGACTACTTCCTTTCTAAACCATTTCAGCTGAAACATTTTCCATCCTTTTCCCCTTCTCCTTTGCTAGTTCATAAAAGTCAGTTGTCTGCACTCAAGTGTCCCAGATTTTCACTCACCCCAAAATATTTGCTCAGCTTTCCACTAACTGTGTACTTTGCAACATTCCAAGCCTGTACCTGCCTGATGCTGCTCCAGTGTCAGCAGTTGGGGCACCACAGGTAAAAGCCTGAATTGCAGAGAACTTAGGGTTAGCCAGAAGTAAACATGGCATACGTGAAATTTAGGTGGTCCCACTGGATTTTCCACGGGGGCAGAGAGGAATCTGGGTTCCATCTCTCAGCCTCACGACATTTCTGTATTTTCACCAGCTACTATTTAGCTTTAAAAGAAGACTTAAAAAAATAATTGCTCCTTTTGCTGGAGGTTCCAGGAGCTCTGAGGTCTTTCCACACCCGTGGTGTGGCTTCCCCAGGTAATATTCTCCATGTGGGATATCCTGTGCCTGAGGCAAAGAACACTCTCCTGGGAAGGGAACTTGAACCTCTCCAGAGCAGGAGCTGAAGGTAGTCCAAAATCTCTCCCTTTCCAGGACTTCAGGACCTGCTATTACAAAGACAGCCTTATACATCCCCATTACAGAGTTTAGGGCAAGCTCCTACTTTCAGGAGATCATTTACCTACCAAAGAAAACAGGAAATTCCCTCCTCTAGTCCTGAGTGAGCCCCTCAAGAGAGGGGTGAAACACCTGACATTTCCTCTTGCCACCCAAACTTCTACCAGGCGTGTAGATGTGCAATAGAGGGCCTGGATCTTCAACCTGGGAAATGAGGATTTGATAAACATTAACTCTCTTCTTCTCCCATTTCTATCATGTATTGAAGTTCTGTAGACATGATTAAACTCCAAGCTGTTGAATTCTGATCACCCAGTCTGTGTATTGTAAAACCAGTTTCCTGCTACTGAACCTTGTTAAAAAATCTGTACTCATTTCAGCTTGTGCTGACAGCTGATACTGTAAGAAATATTAACCTAACATTTTTATTTTCAGAGTGTGCTTTAAACAGAGTAGCCTTAATTTAAGAATTATTTTAACAATTGATTTCCTAAAAATAACTAAATTACTTTCCAAAATTTACATCCCTATAGAAGCTGACTCGCAGCATGAAGTGCCACTGAAGTCATGGCATAGCCACAGTGAATTTAATGCAAAAGTAATTATCTCAATTTACATGAATTATGAACTCTTAGTGGAGAAATCTAAAAACCCAAACACTGAAACCTACATAGTAAAAATAGGAAAGAAAACTTTTAGAATTAGCTAACAATCAGTCTAAAAGCATGAGCACTCTGGAGAAAGGACACTAATGTCTTTAATTCTTGAATGGCTCTAGAAAATTCTGTATTAGGGATGGAATTTTCTATTCAGTTACATGGGGAGATTCAGAAACATAAAAATGTAATTACAAAACATCTGTTGGATTTTGCTTACAGCATGCTCAAAAGAGACTACGATTTAACTGGGACTAGAATTTCAGACATACTTTTACATGTTTTTAGTGTTGCTCCCTGGAGATTCATCCTGCACAATCAGGTTGTTTACAGATTAAGTGCCTGGAAACAAGAGAGGTTACAATATGAAATACACTAAAATGTTAATGAAGGCCCCTAATTTAATCTTTTGCCCCCACATTTATAAAGTCATTTTGGAAGACAGCACTTGGATACTAAGAGTTCACTGCAAAGACTTCCACCGAGAAGAAAACAAGGTAAAAATATCCCCCATGCCCAAATCACAGAAATGATACAAAACCACACCAAATAAAGGTTTGTAATAGAATTTACTTGTACAAAAGCAACATTTTAGCATAATTTCAGAATAAAAATGTAAGATCTGTTTGGTGTTATGCAGATGTGGTGTATCAACTCAGATGCAACAGGTAAAGCATGCTGTAATACTAAGTACAAAAGCTTTGAGATACACTGTTGTATTTAGCAAATTACTCCCAGTGCCTCTTTGTGGTTATTTTCTTAATTACAGGTTTGGTCTGCTTCATTTATGTCAGCAAAATATTTTGGAATATAAAAACTGGAAGTGTTAAAATACACTGATTCATATCTGGAAAAATCAAACCCAGGACCCGTTTCTCTCTGGACACAAATAGGTCTACCTGATCACTGAAACAAATGTATATAAACGAAAGTTTATAAACTATCTGTCCCATCATTGTACTCCCCTTTATATAAAAAAAGGCAAAAAATGCCTTGATATAGAAAATTGTTCCATCTTCATGCTTCTGAATTTATGCAACCTCTTTATCAGGTTTCCTTATCCAGATATTAGGCTGTAAAATGATCAGCTACTTCTCCTGGGGCTTTTCCAACATCTTCAGTGCTAATCTTCCAACCATTAGCAAACTGCATAAGGGGAAAAAACACATAATTAAACAATTACAACAATTTGTTAATACACTTCCAAATACTTCCCATGTAACTGGTGCAAAGGAACAAAAAAGATACATAAAATATGACTCATTCCATTTCAGTTTAATTAAGCAAATAAGAAATCACACACAGGAGGTTAAAAAAAAAAAAAGGATATTGTGTTGTACCTGACACCAGCAATTAGCCCCGCAGGCATGAATTTTCTGGAGTTGTAAAATCTTGTTCCCATGATGGCAGACAGTGTTCCAGATGTAACTTAAATGAGAGATTGTACAGTCCAGTCAGCAGATACATGCATGTGAGAGACATAATAGAATTAAAAACTAACAGTGAGATGTAGCAGCACCAAGTAAAAAGTGAAACGGTTATTTCACTTGGTGGACTACAGTGGACTAAGAGAGTTAATAAATTGTGTAAATTTTGGAATGCCTCAGTACGTAAACAGTATTCTACATCAAGTTCTAGCAGACAGCACACTCCATATGGTTCTGCACACAAGCCTCAGATTTCTTTTTGCAAAATGTGCACTTTTTGAGGCTGGATATAATTCATGATACACTGCTCACTCCTTCCCTGTGCACAGGCAAATCACTAAACTTATGCATCTAATTCCCCCACTTCTCATAAAAGGGAGGGAGCGTTTTCATGTCTAACTTGTAGTAATGTTCTGAGAATGAACTAATTTATGTTTCAAAAGACTTCAAAAGGGAAGTGTGCTATGCATTACCAAGCCATTTCAGTCCTGCACCTCCTTCCATTAAGATGAGAGTTAAATCTACTGTCCCTGACCACTTGACAAAGAGACGGGAAACAGGTAGTTTCATTGAGCCAGTAAAGCAGAAAGAGCAGTCCCTGGAACACTGTATATCAAAGAAAGACTGAATACTAAGAAAACTGTAAGAAAAACCTATTGATGAAATCCTTAGCATTAGCATCCACCTGCTACCCAGTGGTGACAGCTACGATCACTATGTTCCAACTCTTTTATCTTCTATCATTGTTTCTGCAGGACCCAGCTCATCTTCAGTCCTAGCCATGGCATGCCCCTTCCCTAACACCACTCCAAATGCTGTCACTGACATCTAGTAATGTCATGTGAGGAAATATATGAGACTGGGATCACAGTCTGACACACGATAAAACCAAAATATTTTAGCATTCAGATGCTTCAAGCTCTAATTACTAGGCAGTCTTCAAAATACGCACAACTCACAATGTAATTTTGTCTAAAGCAGAATTGAACACACCTTCTCCAAAAACTTCAGAGGAAAAGACCTCATATGCTACTGAGTTAGAGAAATGTATCTGACTGCCTCTGACAATTGGGAAAACACTTGGTATCACTTTTCTTAAGCTTGCTGTATTTGCAGTTTATTCCAGTTACTCAGGCTTGACCATGCACAGCTTTGGGCCTGTCCAGTAGATGTGGAAGCCTGCAAACAGGACTGCCTGTGAACACAACTGAAGTGGAGAGAAGTGCTGGGCCTTCCCCTTTCACTCCTGACTTTCATGTACCAAAGAGCCAGATGCTATGTCACCGCTTCACTGAAAAAATGCTGTAGTTGGTGTCAGCTCTTTAAACACTGGCTAAGCAGTAACTCTCCACAGTCAGCTTCTCAAATCAGGAGGAAGGGAAGCTCCAATTCTGAGAAGAAGGAAGAATAAGCTGCATTACTGAAGCTTACTTTTCTGTTAAATCCCCCCCAGGCATGCAATGCCTTTGTCATTCCGCATATTTGTCATATATAAAAATAAGCCAATCACAATCCTCTGTCCTTTTCAGTGGTAATAAAATAACCTGCTAGTAGTACAGGCAGTCTACTGGGGAATCCAACTTCCCCAAATGCTCCAGCCTACTGTGGGATGCTCAAAGTAGGATTCAGTCAGAAAGAGGACACAGAGAGGTCGGACATCCATTTACTAACACTTTCCTAGCACTACGATCCCTCAAACACATCAGTACCAGACAGATTAATGTTGGCAGCCACCTGTGCAGTGAAGTTTAAAGACTGGACTGAATTTATATATGTAACACCATCCATTTAACTCTTCTGAAAAGACTTTTAGGAACTAATTTTAAATATCCAGTTATTTGAGGGTAAGTATAATCCCGTTTAAGTAAAATTTTAAATTACTTACTCAGAGAAAGCCAAATATTACTTGGATTCTGTGAGAGCTGATAAGCACCCAATCCAGCCAAACCCCCAAAGAAAAGGCCAGCAGCTAGTGATGGAACACTGCCTGAATAAGTAAAAGATAATGCATTTATTAGAAACTTAAAAATGAACTTGCTCATCAGCTTATCTGTTTTGTAAAATATCAGCAATAACAACAACAAAAAAAAGGCATTCATTATTCATTTTATAAAGAAGATTAGAGAAGGTTTTTTTTTTCTTTTAGGACATTGAGACCATGTTGATCAGCACCAAAGCCCAGATGAAATACTCTTGCATAAGATACAAATAGCATTAGCATTTAGTTCTTCAACAGCAAAGCCATTAATATATTTATATTGGAAAGAACTGTGAGAAAAACAATAGAATTGGTGTTTTCCTAATGCAAACTGAAGCACGTTGTTTTAAAACAATAATATCAAAATTTCTAGAGAGGTAGTAAAGTAGATGGATTAAATAGTAAGGATTTAAGAGTGAGAAAAAAGGACATGTGGACTGAATTGGCCAGGAGGGCATTCAGATAAATAAAGAGTTGCCAAAGAGGAAGGTGAGGAATGGAGATCGTATCTCTTAAATATACCTGAGATCTGATCCAAAGGTAACTGCAGACTTTGGAAGAAGGTTCCCTGGACTAACCTAAACTTTGAAACAGGTCCTTGGTACAAAGCTACCAGAAAATAAAGGATACCACATTTAAGCCACATTTAAGTTGATTTATAGAATACACCAAGTAATGAAGTGGCATGATCATTGTGAGTGGTGAATATCCTCAATAAGGCTCATGGAGAATTAAGGACTTAATGTTACTGAGGGTGGTTCTTTTTATATTCCACTTTTCAGGTCACCTTTAAAAGACTTGAGAGTAAAAAGCTAAGCTGATAAAGATCTCTCAGTGTTACAGGAGGACTGCATATTGCTGCCAGAAAGTAATCACTTTTCAGTCATCAACAAGGTTGCTGTAATATTACTTTAAATCCTGCTTTTGGTATAAAAAAGCATGAGGCAAAAATGATAGAAAGCACCTGATACTCTTGTACACGTGCAAGGAAAAGATGCACATTGTAATAAGTGGCTGCTTTGTACATAATACAGTTTAGCAATCAACATGTGGTAGCTACAATTCTTTCCACAAGCCTGGGAGTCAAGAAACATCCCCCATTATCCATGAATTTTACCTTGAGGCATTGTTTAAGCAGCATGGCATATACACTTACTAGGACAAACACATCACCTCTGGCTCAAGAAGTTCCTGAGTCTCAAAACACAAGGACCCAGAGAACTTACTAAATGAAGACAGAAAAACAATCAATCAATCAATCAGTCAATCACTCTCCCTTTGATTGCTCTGTTCTCATACTCTTCCCAAGGCACCTACTGCTGTCTACTGTCTGTGTGGGTAAATAGACCTGGTTGTAAAAGAACAGATCAGATCATCATCTTAGGTCTATGGATGAAAGTTCCATTTTCTTTTGGTTTCTCTAAGTTATTATTAATGACATAATGTAGTTTTTTTTCTCTCCAGAACTCACCATATGAGTTTCTGTTCCCCCTTCAAAAATCCTGTGACCTGGATTCCCCTGCCTCAGCATGACCATCTGGGACCAGAGGGCATGAAGGACTCCTGCCATTCCATAATGGCCTCAGAGAAACACAGATGCAATTAGTTACTGGGAAGATTCTTACTGACTTCAGGAGTGCCCCCTCCTATCATAAAACCTAAGACAGCTTAGGGATTTTCAAGGCTGAAAGAGACAGTGCTGCAGGAATTAAGCTTCAGTTCTGTCTGGAGGAGGGCTGACTCAGGAAAAGGCCAGGAAATGAAAACAGTGGGTCAGAGGGTAAGCTTATGATGCAGAGCCCAGGAAAGGAACAAGTTGAAGGGCTGATTTGGATTGTTCAGCTCTGCTTGGAGAAAAGATCCTTCTGAAAGCTCTCTACAGCTTGCAGGATACTGTTATCGTCAAAGATTAAAATGGGAATAAATCTCAAAGGGGGGAAAAAATTGTGATTTATGTCATTTGAAGATACAGAACACTTATAGAATGCTTATATTTTAAACAGGAGGGGAAAAGCCTTTCTGAAGCAAACTTATGTCAGTTCACTCAAAGAGCACAATGCAGAAGCAAGATATCAGCATCCACCAGAAAGCAGATTGTGGGCTTATCTGCCCAGAGCACCAGCTCAACCCAAAATCCACCACTCCCCAACAGCAGCAAGTTATCAGCACATGGCACAAACTGATAAATTTCACATCTGCGCCAACTTCGAGCGAGAAGCCTTTCGTAAAAAGCCGCCCAGCTCACACCAAGTAATTGGGGGGAGGGAGGGGGAAGAGAGAATGGGAGACAGAAGCATCTTCCTGGTCCGTACCTGCTTTTGCATAGCCAATGAGCCCTCCTGATGTCACCAGGGCGGCGTAGCCAAAGCCGAACCAGTCCACTGCCATGCCGAAAACTGGAACAGAAAATCGATCAGCATCTCTTAACCTTTTAATTTTTTTTTTTTTTTGGGGGGGCGAGGGAGGGGAGCAGAAGGGGAGGGAAGAAGCATTTTGCCGGGGCAGGCTTTTCTAGGAGCAAGGCCTGCCTAAAGCCTAAGCCCTGAACCCAGGAGAGGAAACCCGATTGTTGGGAAGGCAGCCCTGGGGGGTGACAGGGATGCTGCGGGGTCTCACCTGCCCGATGGCCCCGCTCCGCAGCAATTGGGGGCGGAGCAGGCGGCGGAAGGGGAGGTGGAGGAGCCACGCACCGCCCAAAACTTCCCTTTTCCGGCTGTTCTGGGAGAAGGGTTTAAAAAAAAAAACCCCAAAGGCAAAAAGCAACCGGCCAAAAACCTACCCAAGAGGAAGGGTAAGGGTGGGTCCCACGTCCCGGGGTTGCGGAGGAGAAGGCGGTGGTGTTTTCCCACTTACCTGCGGAGCTCCCGGGAACTGCCCCGGCACGACGGGAGGGGGATATCGAGGATGCCCGAGCAAGCCCTGGTGCATAAGAATGAGGAGAGACTTCAGTGCAGACCAGGGTTTGTGCTCTTGTTCGGTGAGGGGCATAACAGCAGTCCTGTGCACCCAATCCCTCCTGGCCCTATTCCAGAAATGGGGTTATGTGGTACAGCTGAGAGTTTGGGGCCGGGCTTTGGTGTGGCATGAGCCACAACTCCAGGCAACCTACACGCTGCGTCTCGCTTTGATCCCTAATTTCAGTATAGCTCCTTCATGGAAGATGTAGAGGACTTCCATAACCTTTAAACTGTAAGCAAGTGCAACAAGAAAAGGAATCTTCTGCTTCAGAAGCTTTGCAACAGTGGGAGATGGAAAACATCTTGTAAAGAAAATGTTTTGCCTTTTTTTTTTTTTTTTAATCTGGAAAAAATGTAGAGATGTTTATAACTGCCTACAAAGATAAACCCTTTCTCTTTTCCAAACTGGCTTTCTTCACATAAGTGGTGCTGCGTGATTTATTCCAGTTGTTCCTGCACTTAATCTCCCATGGACACTTAACAATATGGAAAGAAAAAGCACTCTTCAACCCAGGCCCCTGAGCTGAGGAGCTTCAGTTACTCTTCATAATAGAAGACACAAAACAGGCCTATGCTTTCTGCAAAATGCAGCTTTCTTCAGCTGCATTTCAAACTTCTCCATCTTTATGAATTAGACTAATGTTCATAAATGAGGGAGCAGTTTAATTCCTTTGTTGGCCTAAGTGATTTAAATAGAAACCTCCTCTCTCCCTCGAAAGTCACAACCAACACACATCTAAACTACACTGGATGGGGTTCCCTTTTCAGTTCAAGCTGTGTGATAGCTATGAGGTTCAAGCTTCACTGGGCTCTGCTTTGTAATCCAGGACAGGGGTTCCCCAAGAGGAGGAAGCAGGAAAACTGGAAGAAATCCACAGCTGCTGGAGCTACTGAACTCACCTGGGGGTCATCTCAGATTCTTGCTAGGCTGTTGTTTCTTGCAGCTATGGCTCCATCTACTCTACCAATGTCATGCACATACATCCTTTCTGACAGGGACAGATTTCTCACTGCTGACATCTCTCTCTGCACTGCTGCCTCCACCATTCTAAGCAGTTCCCTGAAAACTAGAATGAAAAATGTGCTGGAAAGGAAGATAGTTCACAAGGAAACAACAATGACAACAAAAAATTGCCAAGTACTAGTTAGTAGCAGAGCATTCACTCAAGGTACAGAAAAAATGAGTTCTCCACTAAGGACTGCTTCTGTAATTCACTTTGAAAGCTGTTAGGACTGTTTTTTACTGCCTCCAGTTCCCAAACTGTTCTAAGTCTCATGAGATGCGTAATTCTTTGTTACTACACAAGGAGTTTCCATTTTTACAGATGTCTAATATTTACTCGTAAGTCTAAACTTAAAGACCAAAATTCGGTTGAATTTTTGCTTTTTAATTCTTAAAATTATGTGCAGACTGGGTTTTTCCTGATGCTTATGCAAGCTTGCTTCTGCAATTGCGATGTCTGTGGCCATGAGCTCATGTATTTAAGAATTCAAACAATAAAAACTGGTTTAGTAGTGGCAGCCATTTTGTCAAGGACATAAGATAAGCATGGTCAAATAGACATAACACTTTACAAATGAAAGCACTTTACACAGTTCTCCTATTTAAGCTTATACTTTGTAAGTCGTATATTTACTGTAGAGGCCTTATGAATTAAAAATCTGGTTTGGTACTTTCCTGTAAAGTCTACAAACCCTTTAAAGTCCTACATTATTTGCCTGTGTTTGTGAACGCAGACATTTCAGGTATCATTAAAATTAAAAGCTGTGTAAGCTCAAAGTAAATACCTTTAATGGTGAATTTAACTGAGCTCACATAAATCAACTATATTGAATATCCAAATCTAAATAAGGGAAACAGTTACAGAAGGTAAATACAGATGCCCACTTCCAAGTGAATACTGCCACTGCCACAGGAACAATTCCGTAACAGCACTGATGATGCTCACTTTGTTTGAGTGTCAGAGCATACATGGAGCTGAACTGCAATTATATTCTATTTTACATCCCTAAACCAGCCTGCATTCCTATCTCCAGATTTGGCTCAATCTTTTTTCTGATTCTCTCTACTTCTTCTCTTGCTACACAAATAAGGAGGAACAAATTACTACTGAAGTGAATCAGAATAAAGCATAATTCCAACTACTCTTTGAAAGCAGAAGAAATAATGACTACTCTGGTAGTGCAGAAAACAACATTATCATGCCTTACACTTTAAAATAAAGAAAGGGAACATTTAGTACAGCTATTTGACCTCGTTCACTCCAGCTCAACTTTGTTTTTCCCTTTGTATATTTGTAATAAGGCTTAGGATAAAATCCTGTTCCCACTGACTGAGAAGGTCAGGGATTCACATTTTGTTTAAGTGCAAACAGAACAGATAGGTGACATTTTATCAGCACGGCAAAAATTTCAAATGTTATATAATTCTTTTTCAACAATATGGCTCAGATCAAGGACTTGAAAAAAAAAAACAACTGAAGGGGTAAGGAAAAGGTAAGACTATTGATATAAACTCTTCTGCCTAAAAATATGTATCATATTCTAAGGAAAAGGTTTCAATCATGTGAACCATTGGTGTAAAAAAAAACCCTTAAATACATGAAGTATGGACATGGTAAAAAAGCCAAACATTTTGCTTATAAACATGTGTCTGTAAGTCCACATCAAGAACTAGAAAGTAAGGTTTTCTCTGAATGTGTGAATGGAATGTGATCATCATATAGTAATGCAAGACAAAGGAAGATCATATTTTGAGTCAAATAAATAGTAACTTTTTCAACACCAAAATGAAAAGTATACATGTTTTTAATACGCATGGAAGTGAAGACAAAAACGTATCTGAGACAGATACAGCTATTTTTATTATTTTACCTGCCTTTTTCAGAGCCAGTTAAAAAGTGTATGTTATTTTTAAGAGAAAAAATATAAACCTTACATATTATAAATTTATTTTTGCCTCCTTCACTTAGGAAAAGTTGCTATTTCTTTTTTAGGATAAGAACATTAATTACTTTTAAACAACTGATCAGTTCAGAGGTGTATGTTCTGTTAGAGGTTTACATTCTTATAAAAACTAGAGCAACACCAGCATTTACTTTCAGACAGGAGAGAATGAAGCTGCCTTCATGCCAGGCTATTCCGTTTCTTTTTCTTCTTTTGCAATGGAGCTTCCAATTTTTGTTCCTCTGGAATAATGTTTCTCTTTTTTTTTGCTGTTTTATCACTTGTATCAGTCCAACAAACTTTGCTTTTCCTGACTATTGATGATTTTTCATCTTCTTTTGCTGAAAAAAAGCAAGAAATTATTCACACTGATTTTTATTTCCTGTCTTTGAAGTCTAAATGGCACAGAGACTTATTTGTATCTCATTTAAAAAAATAGGGTTATAGTTTTTTATTTTACAGTGGAAAGTGCCATTTATGCTAGTTTTGCCTGTGAAATTAAAAATATCTAAAGATCAAGTATGTAAATAGATAACAATACAGGAAAACAACTGCAAAAAACCCAAACAAATCCGAGCCAGACCTTGTAAGTTTGCCCAGCTACAATGGCCTCAGACCTAATTTTCTGTATAGGAAAACAAGACATGCAGTTCTATCAAACTACTGATTTTCTTATCTGTCTCAAAAGCTTCACAGTCCTTCCTCAGTATGTTATTCCAGTAAAGAGAAAGAAAACTTTAATAAAAGTGGAAAGAGGCTTATGTCCTCCAACAAACATACAGGCTTGAGACACTATCAGATTGGTAAGTATATCCGTATCACTTGCCAGTGTCATCTCCCCAGTTCATCAAAATACCAAAACTTTTTCCAATGCATATAGCAGAAACCTCCTACTTAGTATATTCCATTTAACTGTCACATTAACAGTTGAAAATACACAAAGTTCTGTTACCTTGAGATGATGTTGCAGCTTTATCAGAGTTTTCTTTCATTTCTGAAGCTCGGTCAAGCCATACTGCAAGACATGTCAGCCTGGCTTTGGTATTGACTTCACACAGTAAAGATGGCCCATCTTTAATCTGAGGAAAACATTAAAAAAATATTATTTACATGTTATTTTATTTCTGTTTAAATTTACTGAAGTATTTGCAGTGAGGAAGTACCTCCCACTTCATTGTTAGGCATTGTATCACTCAGCTCTGGGAAGTACTTGAGCAAATATCCTATTACAGATATCAGGGGATAAAGTGTCACAACATTAACAGCATTAACACATCAGAAACTACTGTATTAGGATATTGTACCTCACAGAGCTGGACAGAGTAGCCCACAAAGTTATACAAAACTCTGCTGGACAGAAAGCAAATCACCACAGATTTGGTCAAAATAAATACGGTGTTACAGAGAAAAGTAAAGAATTCTCTGATCACTGTGTCGATTATGGGGAACAGAAATATGAGGAAGGGAAAAGAGGGATTTCACTATTGCACTTAGAAGCATAAAATAATCAGAGGGAGTAAAATTAAAAATGGACAAATTCAGATATGAAGTGTGTAAACATTGAGAAATAATTATTTGGACTATTCAAGATACTTAGAGTGAAGTACAACAGATCCTTCATTAGTAGGCATTAAATTTTAAAAAATCTATTTCTGATTTTAGGAGCAACAATAAACATGGTAAACTTATAGACACGATTCCTTGTTGAACTGTGCTACTGGGAACTGCTTGAAAATACAGGAAATACAAATACCCAGTAGAGTAACGTGTTTGAATTTTTCTGAAGGATAAGCTCCTCCCCTGACATGAATGACCACCTTCCTTGCCCCCACCCCGCCCCAAACCATAGAGTCTGTGTTTTTAAAAGAGTAGCAACAGTCACCAACATTACAAAAATTCACAGCAGTCCTTAGGACATATATAACTGATTAGATAGCCATAGGCCTGGCCAGGACAGTCTGATGGGAAGCATGACTTTACATATAAAGAGGAGATGAGTTCTCGTAATATCATCAGACTTACAGTTTGTTTAAAAAAAAACCTACCAAGCTAAAAAAATATAGAAGTGCGTAAATATATGTGTATAAATACCTACTGAACATAACATGGAAGAAGATCAAGACATCCAGATTTCAAGTAAAATTTCCTCAGTGATTTAAAATTAATCTTTATAACAGAACAGTCTGCAATTTTGGTTGTCTGATATGTTTCATAAATGTAACAAGCAGTTTAATAGACCAACCTTCTCAAGATCCAGATTCCACATTTTAATGTAACCATCACTGGATGCAGTAACAATAAGATGCTGTCCTTCTCTTTCAAAAGTATAAATATCTTTTATTCTGTTAAAAGAAAAGCAATGTGTTTCTACTTTATAGCATGGCAGTTTAGTTCAGAACAGTAAGCTGACAAAAATTAAAGATGAATAGGCAACAGTTTAAAAAATTGGTTTAAACAAAAACCCCACGAGTGACAGGCAGGAACTTGTAACAGTGATCTGGTTTGAGTGCTGTCATTTATATTAGGAACATTTGCCTTTGCTAGGCTCATTAAGATTCAGTTCAGAATGCTTTATTACTTTAAAACATCCTCTATTAGACACACCAATGACATTACTGCTAAAGCTTTTGTGTTTTGATGAATTAAAAGCAATATTTGGACAAATATTTGGTATTCAACAATAACAAAAAAGAATATGTGATAACACTCCTATCTGGATTGATTAAAACTGGTTTGTTTTCTTAAAGCATTTTTAAGAATCAGAATCAGTAAAGACTGGTTAAATACACACACACTTACTCACTCATAAACTTAGAACAGTAATAATTTTAAGTATATACCCAGTTGTTTTTGTAATATGCATGGACAACATAGTTCTGCTGCTCATAGTAAAAGCAAACAAGTCTGTCCAGTTTGAAATGTAGCACATAAGTAAATTCACTCTCTATACTAGAACAAAAAGAACAGTAAAATATGCTGAACATTACAAGCCATTGAACTTTACTGAGGACTCAGCATTGCCGTAAGTATCTAAATAGTAAATAAATATAGAAAACCTGTTTTCATGAGCTTTAAATTCACACAGGCATTTTTGAGAGTCGCAGCTGTAGAACCTTATAATTTCATCATCTCCAGCTATGGCAAGGATAGAATCCTAGGAATGGGAAAAAAGAAATACAAGTGTGATTAATTTCATGTGTTTCAAACCAGTTAACTTCCCAACACCTTTCTTTTTTGTACTTACTGTAATAAATCTAAGTGAAGAAATTCTCCTCTCTGTTGTAATGGTGCCAGTGATTGAAGCTGTGTCGAGTCTGTAGATATCCACTTTGTTTGTTATCACAGTCACATACTGCTCTCCATCAGGGGACCACTTAATTATGTGTGCATCTGTATACACATAGACACTGACTTTTTGCACTCTATATTGCATGAAAATCTAAAAGTAAGAATCTTTAGAAGCTGTAGACAGTTTTCTACCCAGACCTGAGAGAATATTCAGTGAAAAATCAAATAACCTAGAATAAACAAGTCAAACTATGCTCTTAAATGTTGCTTTCTGATTATAAGATCTGTGTAAAGAAAAACAAACCAAAACACATTTATTTAAATGTTCTGACATCAAATTTCAAGGAAAAAAAAAAGGACTTACTTCAGTGATACTACGTTTTTCTTTTGGTAAATTATTATTACTACGGATATAAAATTACACATGCTTGCCTACATGTGTAAAAAAGACATTGTGACAGTTGTTTGCAATTAACTGATTTGTTGATTAATTAGGTCAACTTTTCTTTACACAAAAAACAAAACCATCTAATTCCACCTTATTTGGATTTAGACTGAAAAACTCACTTTGCTTCAGGTTTTTGATGAAGGCCGATCGTCCTTCAACAAGATTCCAAGTTCTGAAAGACAACAAGAGATAATGTGCATTCTGGTTAAAAACAGCACAGCAGAATTGAAGTCTGATCTGCTGACATAAGACACCCAAAGGAAGATTTTAAGCATCTCTGTGCATTTTTCTGCCTTCTTATTGCAAGAGAAAATGATGAGTTCATGTATCGCTTGCACAGTATAAAGTTGAATGTGTGTTATTTATTTTCTAAACCACCATTTGCAATACAGAGCCCAAAAGGAGACCAATAACAATTTGTGCTGTTAAAATAGAACTTTGTATCTTTAAAACAGATATCTACAGCAACATGGATACACTCCAAGTGAAAAATTAGTCTTCTTACACTAAACAAAACCTTGACAGTTTCCAGGAGGTTAAGCAAATTCTGTTCCAAAATGCAAATATATTTATACATCTACAAGTGACTTGTAAAGAGTCAGAGCTCACAAGAAGAAAGTATGAACAGCAGGAAGCATTCTTAAAAGACTTAAAAAAATTGCTGGTACTTAAGACTTCATAAGACAAACCAATGGATCTTTGAACCATTTGATGACAAATGTTTTGACAGTGTTTCACGGTCTAGTCCCAACATGGAATTGTTGCTTGTAATACCTTACTGAGAGTTACTGAATTATGATTCTCCACATTCCTTCATCAGTTTTGACTCACCTTAATGTTTTATCTGTTCCAACTGACAGAGCTAATTTCCCAGAAGGGTGAATAGAAAGCGATGTCACCTGCCCCCTGATAAAAACAAAACATGAGCCACATGTATTATTTACAAGGAAAACAAACAAGAAAATGTACATGAATATGCAGATTTAAGAAACTCACTTATGTGCCTTAATGGATTTCAGACATTCCCATCTCTTTGTGTTCCAGATACAAATGAGTCCATCTTCAGCCCCACTCAAGAGATGTGAAGTACCATAGAACTCCAAACAAGTTATTGTACCTAGAAATACAAACCAGAGCTATTAACAAGGTTGTACATACCAAACAGTTACTGCACAGAGAACACAGGAATTAACAGGAAAGCATCTTCCATCAAAACATGGCAGCTACTACCCTACCCTTGGGAAAATCTAAATTATTTCTTAAGTATTTCTTAAAAAAATACCAAAAAATTTTCTTGTTACATTCAATCCCTGATGTGTTCTATCAGTCACCCTTTAGCCATACATGTCTGAACTCCACCTGGTCTTTTCTCTGACACAGCAGTACTCAAACACTGCGGCACAGGTGACACAAGGCTCCTATCAGCAATAAGGAATGCTCCCATGTCAAAGCCCTGCTGCTCCTGACACAGCTGAATTTACTGCACATACCGCGTCCCATAAGCACCAGATTCACCATACAGGAGTTAAAAGCAGGTACTGTGCTCAGTCCAACTCCAGGTTCTTCTTAGCTCATCAGGACTGAGCTACAAATGACCCAAACAGGTTTATTTGGACAGCCATTAACTGGTGACCGTACCAATTATATACACAAAGGGTGCACCCTCAGCAAGTTTGAAGATGACAGCAAGCCAAGTAGGGAAGGATGTGATGCCATCCAGAGGAACCTGGACAAGCTCAAGAAGTGGGCCCATGGGAACCTCATGAGATTCCACGAAGCACAGTGAAAGCCCTGGTATCAATACAAGCTGGGGGATGAACAGATCGAGAGCAGCCCTGCCAAGAGGTACTTGGGTGTGCTGGTGGATGAGAGGCTGGACATGAGCCAGCAATGTGTGCTTCCAACCCAGAAACCCAACTGTATCCTGGGCTGCATCAAAAGGCCAGCATGTTGAGGGAGGGGATTCTGTCCCTCTACTCTGCTCGGGTGAGACCCCACCTGGAGTGCTGCATTCATCCCTGGGGTCCCAACAAAAGATGGATGTGAACCTCTTAGAGCAAGTCCAGAAGATGTCTAGAGAGATGGAACACCTCTCCTGTGAGGAAAGGCTGAGAGAATGGGGATTGTTCAGCTGGGAGAAGAGAAGGCTGCAGGAAGACCTTATTTTGGTCGTCCAGCACTTGAAGGGGGCTTGTAAGAAAAACAGGCACAAACTTTTTAGCAGGGCCTGTTGTGACAGGACAAGGAGTAACAGTTTTAAATTGAAAAGGGTCAGTTTAGATTAGTTATAAGGAAGAAATGTTTTACAAGGAGGGCAGTGATACACTGAAACAGTTTGCCCAGAGAGGCGATCCATGCTCCAGCCCTGGAAACCTTGAAGGCCAAGCCGGTCGGGGTTCTAAGTAATCGGATCTGGTTGAAGATGTCCCTGCTCAGTGCAAGAGGGTTGGACTACATGACCTTTAAAAGGTCCCTTCCAACCCACTATTTTATGATTCTATTATGTGCTTTTACAGCTGTAATTCAGCCAGCACATACAGTGGGAAATGTACCACATTAACTCATCTGGCGGCAGCAGCCTGCTCTCATACACCTAACTTTCCTGACAGAAGGAAAATGGCACATGAGCCATTTCTAGGTCATAACTTTTTTAACAGTTAAAACTAAAAACAGTTGGAAGAAGCAGCTGTATTTGTGACAGCACTAATATCCAAAATAATTTTTTTACTTTTATGCTCAAAAGTTCACCTTGTTTGTATCATCAGACCATCATGGCTGCAACACCATCACTACTGAAGTCTTATAAAAAAGAATTAGATTTCTTCTTCTGGTGAGGGCTGGTTTTTCAGCTACAATTTTATATCATTAATGCTTTTTACAAAGAAATGCTCCCTTACCATTGTGCTGTAGCAGCGCCCCATGTTCTATCTTCTTTTTCATGTCATAGATTTGGATTGTTTCATCTCTGCTCCCAGTGACCACATATCTGTTATTCACTGCTACTGCTGACAATGAGGCAGAGTGGGCATGATGTGTAAAATCAGGGACGATTGTCCAGGACTGTAAATGAAATGCAAAACAAACAGATATTTCTGAGGCTTACCATAGTAAGCTTCCACTTCATCGTCCCGTAATTTTATTTTGTAAAAGAAAAACCTGAAAGAGTCTATGTGCAAAAATCAGAATCAGAGAATCGATTAGGTTGGAAAACACCACCGAGACCATCGACCAATAGACTATGGCACTAAGTGCCATGTCCAGTCTTTCTTTAAACACCTCCAGGGATGGTGACTCAACCACCTCCCTGGCAGTCCATGCCAATGTTTAATCACCCTTCTTGTGAAGAAATTCTTCCTGATATCCAACCTAAACTTCCCCTAGTGCAGCTTAAGATGGTGTCCTCTCATCCTCCTGCTAGGTGCCTGGGAATAGAAGTCAGACCCCCACCTGGCTACAACCTCCTTTCAGGTAGTTGTAGAGAGTGGTAAGGTCACCCCTGAGCTCCTTTTCTCCAGGCTAAACAACCCCAGCTCCCACAGCTGCTCATGATCAGACCTCTGCTCCACACCCTCCACCAGCTGACTGCCCATCTGTGGACCTGCTCCAGCACCTCAGTGTATTTCCTGAACTGAGGGGCCCAGAACTGGACACAGCACTCGAGGTGTGGCTGTGTACTTGTACACCAGTGCCAAGTACGGGGGGAGGAATTACACATAAGCATAATGGGATCTTACTGAGTTAATGTACTGTTAGGAGATTAGTCCAAAGGACTTAAGCGTGCAAGCCGCCCCTTGTAATCAGTGCCGTGCTTATACGAAGCTGTCTGTGAAAAAGCGTCTGCAGAGAGACAAAATCTCACGGCCAAGGGAGGTGGATCCTTTCGTTTTCCACCACGGCAGGCTGGAGACGCCTCCCACCGGGCACCAGCCCCCCAGACCACGTCCCGTCCATCCCCGGCGCAGCTCTTCGCCCTCACCCCCGCGTGGAAAGAAGCAGCCCCGCGCACCCACGCGGCTTCCCGCAGCTCCTGGGAACCCTCCGGGACAGCGAGGGGGCCGAGCCTGCCGGGAGAGGCCGCGGGAGAGGCCGCCCCGCCCCCGCAGCGCGCTTTAAGAGCCCCGGCGGCGGCCGGAACCGCGGCCGCGGACGGGCGAGACGGTGAGTGCCGGGGAGGGTTTTTTTTTTCGGGGGCGGGCACGGCCACTTCCCCCCATTCTCCCCGCGATTTTCCCCCATATATACCCCCATTCTTCCCCATATTTCTCCGGAAGTGTTCCAGGCCAGGCTGGATGGGGCTCTGAGCAACCTGGTCTAGTGGAAGGTATCCCGGCCTGTGGCCGGAGTGGTGGTGGGGGTGGTGGTGGTGGTGTTCGAATTCCATGATCCTTTTTTCCAACACAAACGATTCTGCGATTCTATGCACCTTCCTCCTCTCTTCCTGCTCTCTTCCTCCCCACTCCCGTCCATCCACCCCCCCTCCCAGTTCCCCTGTCCCTGTTACCTGCCCGGGCCGCGTGGCGAACCCCAGCAGCACCTGCTCGTAGCACCCCGCCACCAGCTCCATCCGCTCGGCGCCGCCCCGGGCTTCCTGCCGGCTCTTCCGCCCGCCCGCCGCGCTGCCTGCGCCGCTCCCCGCCGTCTCCGCGCGTGGCGTGCCCGGCGGTGCTCGCTCCCCTCGGGTGAGGAGGAGAATCCCGCGGGAGCAGCCGCGGAGCGGGAAGCGCCGCGGGGAAGGGCGCGGGGTCAGGCCGCGCGCGGGGCAGCCCGCGCGGGGGGGGCCTGGCGGGGCGGAAGCGGCGCTGGCGCGGGCGGTGATGGCGGCGGGCAGGACGAGAGGCGTTAGTGCCGGGATCGGGAGGGGAGGGGGGAGCGGGGACCGGCACCGGGGGCTGCTGGCGAGGAAAGAGGGGCGCGAACCGATCTGCGGGGAGCAAGGGAGGAGAGGAGGGGAGGGGCGGTCGGACCTTTCCCTTCCCCCGGGGCCGCAGGGCCGCCGCCTCCTCCCTCAGGGCGTGTGGGGCGGAGAGGCCCCGGCGGCGCTTGGGCCGGGGCACCTGAGAACGGGCTCCCCCACCATCTGGGCCCGCCGGCTTTTATTTTTATACGGTTGGGTGGTTTTATAGTTTTGTTGTTGTTTTTTTTTTTTTTTTTGTTTTTCGATTCGTTTTCTTATCGCGAAGCACAATGAGCGGGAAGCGCGGCGGCGGCGGCGCCAGTGTGGCCGCTCGCGGAGGGCCGCGGCCGGGCGGGGCGCACTTGTGGTCGGGCTCTTCCCGTCGTGCCGAGTGGCTCAGTTAGAGAAATGCGTCACGGCTCGGGCCTGGGCCCGGCCGGGGTCATCGCGCCGGCCCGAGGGGCTCCGGGAGCTTCCCCCGGCCCCCTGCCCTGGCCCAGCGCCTCGTGTGAGCGGAATTAGTGCCGCAGGATGGGGGCGGCTGGGCCGCTGCCCGGGTGAGCGGTGTTCACGCCGATTCTGCCCCTCGATAGCTTCACCCGCTTTTTTTTGCACGTACAAGCGCAATAATGGAAAAAAAAAAAAAGTGGAAGACAATAAAAAGCTACTATGATGCGCGTGTAAGCCAGTTGAGCACGTGTTTGAATTCTGCAGGTTGAAGCTGTTCAACTGCCTAAATGAGAGCTAGCTGCAGTTAAGACAAATGTTGAGAAAAACAGAGATGTTTATACATGCTGGTTTAACTGCTTTTAAAATGTTTTTATTTCATAGTGAAAAGATCAAGAGGCGACGTCAAGATTGGACGGGGAAGAGGACAAAACCAGTTCTTAAAAGTTGGTGAGAAGCAGTTGCATCACGTGCCTCCTGACAGCCTCTTGCTGTGTGTTCCCGTCTTCTGCTAGATTTGCACGAGTGAAAAGCGGTAAGTTTAAAAAAAGTTACTGTGCAGCCGTGAATTTGAAAGTTATTTATTTCAGTGTTAGAGCATGGGGAAGTTCATAGTTCCTCTTAATAAATAGTAACGTTCCAGTTAGAGGAACATCGTTCTGTGGATATTTGTATTAATAATGACCATCTTTAACAGAAAGATGTTGCTGCTGATAATTATAATGAACACAGTTACTTTTAGTAAGTGTGTTTTCAGTTTACCACATGCTAAGCTTACGAGGACTAGACTGTATTTTAAGGGCTTGTTTGTACTTGACTGTTTTGTTGCCTCCAGAGTGGCTGTGGGGATAAAGTCCATAGTTATTTTGAATAGTACCGTGCCTGGATGGTCTAATTATGGTTTATGGCTATCCTGTGTCAGAAGCAGTGCTCTGAACTGCTCCCCTCTGTGGGCAAGCCTTTAAGGCATTATGGAGGCTCTGTTTTTATTGCATTATGTGAATGTGGATTTGATCAGCCAGGATGTAAAACATTACATAAATTCGTGCATGGAAATAAAAATTAGAACTTCAGCAATCAAGCATCTGCATAGAAGGAGCAACACTGGCTATAAAAAAACCAGCAGTGGTGAATGAACAGCTGTGTGTTGAAGTAAATGCAGAATGTTTTACAAGTGAAAATGGTTTTCACACTGAATTATGTTTGTTAGATGACTAGGGGAAAAAGCTCGAAGAAAGAATATTAGAATCAAATAAGATACATACCTCTTCAGGAAAGTGTGTCCACTGGTTTAGTGGTAGCAGTAAAAGATTATTCATTGGCTAACTCGCTGGTAGTGAGTGAAATGTGTAAATGAAAAAGGCAAAAGAGAGAAGGCAGTCCTAAGAAAAGGTGCAGAGAAAGATTATGTTAATCTGTAGTGTGCCCTCATCCCGCTTTTATTTCTGTTATTTAGCACATAGGAAGTACCACTGCTTGTTTTCAGCTGTGTAGCTTGTGGTACAAGTAAATCAACTCCTAATTTGGCTAAAAGGGGAAAAACCTGGGGACTTCTGCAAAACATACTGAAGCCTGTGTCTTGTTGCCTTGTTCTGACTTTTAGAATCTTCTGAATTACTGGGTTATTATCTGTAGGCATTTCAGAATTAAGGGTAAGGTATGGGTGACTTAAAAGTTCTCTGTAACTTTCTAGTTCTTTGGACAGTGGGAAGACTTTATGGTCTATTGCAGTTTAAGGCAGTGAAAATTACTTCTAATCGTAATCCCATTGGCCATGTATCCTTTTCACACCCATTGCTTTAGCAGTGACAAGTTAGAACTTAAAAAATTAAGCTCTGACTTGATACCATTCAAAGGATGCAGTGGTGTGAACTTATTTGGAAGTAATTAATCTCAGGGATAAAATTCTTCATCTTTTTTGTCCGCTGTCCTTTTTCCAGCCGAAGGAGTGAACTGAATCTGTGCAGCCATACTGTTTGAGAAACACAGAAGACAGTTTGAATCATGGCAAGCCAGGTAAGATCATGTGGTCAGAAATACAGGCTTGCAGTGCCTAAGTGGATTCCAGAACCATACTCAGAATTTCTAGTAAATGTAAAGCTGAAATAGCTAGCTTGCTCTGAGTTGGGTGTTCTTTTAGTCCTGTGATTTCTTCCGACAATGTGGTAATTGGTGGCTGTCCTCTGGACACTTAATTGTGTCAACTGGCATAACATTAAGTTTGGCAGTTTGGATTATTTGAGTGTGAGTTCTTCTGAAGGACCTTGCGTGTAACACTCTCTATATAAGATTCATGTAGAGGTGTTATAGAGGAAGAACAATAAAGCCTGCGTAAGTAAAAGTTGTGGAACGTCATTCTCATTTTTGGAAGTCCTTGTTCTTCAGAATCTTGAGAGGGAGGCAACCTGTCTTAATATGGCTGTTTCCTCTCCTTTTTTGTGCAGTTACCCCACTCACTTCCTTTTTTGAACTGTGTTTTTTTGGGGTTCTAGTTTTCTTTCTTTTTTTTTTCCTTTTTTTTTTTTTTTTTTTGGAAGAGGCACTTTTTTATGCCTCCTTCTTCCTGGCCTTGCGTCTGGGTTCAAGTTTTCCCTCAGCCAAGCTAGTGCCTGTTCCTGGTCTGCTTTCTCCTTACATTCCATTCATTGGCCTCTTGTCGTTGTTCCTGGCCTGGGAGTGACTCACTGCTGGCTAGTGAGGAGAGGCATCTCACAGAAGAAGAATTCCTTCCTAGGTGAGGGGAAGATAGGGACAGCGGAGATCCCTTTTGGAAGAGTGACGATTTCCCTGCCTCCTCATCACTCAGACTGTGCTGCGGCAGGATTTTTTCCGTCCTGGAGCTCAAGCGGAACACAGTCCAGTCCTGAAGCTAATTAACATTTAGGATTGGCCGGCATCAAAGGGCTACCTGCTTTTTCCCTAGTTCCCAGAGGAAGCTGTCAATCCTTTAGCCAGCTTGACAAGTCAGGGGAATATGGCTGTTCATACAATCCTTTGGCTCTGTTATTTTTGCCAGGCGTTTTCCCCAGAGGCTGCTTTCCCTCATGGGAGGCGGAGGGAGAAATGGGACCCCAGGCTTCTTTCAAGGGCAAGGTGAATATGGGGAAATCACCTGTGGTGATGGGGAGTGGGAGGGAGGAATGTAAATGAGGCTAAAAACTATAAAGGTGATTTTTTTTCTCCCTACAGGACTTGATGGCGAAAAAAAGAGAATGTCTCCAGGCATACAGCTGGTGGAGAACACCACAGAAGAAACGGAAGAAAAAGAACAAAATAAAACCGGGAAGAATAGAGTTCGTCCCTAGTAGTACTAATACAACCAGGTAAAGACCTTTGGAAAGGAGAAACTCTGACCCCTTACCTGTTTAAAGGGATGATGACTAGTGAAGGCCATCACTTCTCTTTAAAATCCTGAAATGGCACACCTAATACTCTTAAGTATTGCTTATGGAATTGTATTGCCAGTAGAATAAGCAGGATTTTTTTTCTAGTTTGTCTCCTCCATAATCACTTCAGAAGTGGTGGCAAAACAGTCTCTTTTGAATTGTGGCTGTAACTTAATAGTTTTCCTTGATGTTTTTGGTGCCTTGCCCTTCAGACAGCGAATATTACTTTCTAAAACGAACTTTTAAAAAGTTTTTAAAATAAATGTGGGTCTTTGTTACAATGCTTTCTCTTGCAAAAGTGGTAGAATGGACCCAGAGAAACAAAGAATTCCTTGCTGGAGTGATGGCATTGCGGTTCTGTTCATTACTCAGCAGAGTTTTGCAGTCTGTTCATATTTTTGTCTCTATTTGTCCAGTGATAACTGCCTGCTTGTATGTTGGGTACTTTAATACTGCAGTGAGCTATGTTAGTCTCAGACTTGACTGTGGTTCTCTTTTACCTTTTTAAAGACCAGATTATTCAATATTTGTTGGGGAGCTTACTCCAGAGGTGGATGATTTCCAGCTTTATGACTATTTCCTAAAGAGGTACCCCTCATGTATTGACTGCAAAATAGCAACCGACCTGCTGGGATATTCCAGGTAATGTCTGAAAATGTTTAAGCAGCGTCAGTATGTTTGCTTCTATAAGTAATACATAAGAATTTGCATCAGAACTGCTTCTGCGTTTTCTTCAGAGCAGGAAGAGAGAGTGAGATTAGCCTTTGGCATTATTTTTTTAACAGCATAGATCCATGTATTTCTCAGACTTCATGGTTAGTTTAAGCAGTTAATGCGCTAAGCTTCTGTTTAGCCATAGGAATATCTGCATGAAGGTAGATGGTGGGAGGAGTGAGACCTCTGCATGGACATGTGTGCTGCTGTGCCTGCCTACAGCAGTCTGTCCACTTAGTCATCTGCAGTACTGTAGACAAGCTAATTCCCTTTTTTACATGTAAAGAAAAGTGTGAGGCCTATCAAATCTTAGGGGTTTGGGAGACCGAACTTCCAGTATTAGAAAATAAAGCTTAGCAGAAGTTACACTGGCCAGGCAGCGAGTCAAGCAGGGATGAGCGAGTTTGCTGTTCAGACAACACTGGCTGTAATGGTCTAATTCAAAACAACTTGCAAAAAAGGAAAATGAAAATCTGAAAAAGCTAATTTAAAAAAATGTTAGAGCTGTACAGCAGTAGGAGTGGTTTAATACTAAGTGATAAATTACCTGCTGTAAGTGCAGAAATATGGAATCTGGTTACTTAAATAGTTACAACTTACTATTTTGCTGGCTTTCAGCAAGTTGCATCTTAATGCTGTCAACAAGCTTTTTGCTTCTGGCCCAAGTTTTAAATCTTGTAAAAGCATCTTCTGTGCATGTGCACGTGGCAGAGAGGTTGCTTAGGTAATAAAAGCTATAGTAACTACTATTTTCTGTTTTCGTGAAGACAGAAATTGCATTCGTTAGCTTTGTAACTGTTATGAATACTAGAATTTGTTTTCTCCCTTTTGAAAATTGTAGAGGGTATGCCTTTGTCAGATTTGGTGAGCAAGGTGATCAGATGAGGGCACTGCAAGACTGCCAGAATGCACCAGGTCTGGGGGGAAAACGAATCCGGCTGAGCATAGGAATTTCTAAAAGGTAACAAATGAGTTGTGCATTGATACAGTAATTCTGAATAATCGGATTCTTTTAGCTCTGCCTTTGTAAAGACTGTGGCTCTTGCTATAATGGCTACACACACAATGCAGTCTACAAAACCAAAATCACAGAAGCATTATGTTTGGACTACCTGGATTCATCAGTCTCTTTCAGTATTCCTGGGGGAATCCAACTCTTAAATCTAGCCAGATTGTGTAACTTGGGCTTACCTGTTGTAACCAGCCTTAATTCTTACACTAGTGAAGCTGAATGCATTTGTAAGTATTTTTCAGGTTTGGGTCTGAAGAAGGCAGAAGGGACAAGAAGTGTTTGGTTTTTATGCTAGAAAGCTCTTCTTCTAGACCTTTCCCCGTAGTTTAGGCAAGCTAGTACGCTGCTAGTTTTAAAGTAAGCTGGCAGAGGAAGGAACTCCTTAGTGGAAAAATACAGAATATAGAGGGGAAGAAGCCAAAGGAGATGCTGCTTGAACAATTTGTTTAGGATACTGTTTTTTGCTTTTCAAGGAATTAGGGCAGTAGGAAATTTAAAGCTGATTGGTTTTGAGAGCGTTTTTTACTCTGCCAGCTCGGTTCTCTGTCAGTTATTTAAAACAATTCAGTTAGAGTCTTGATACCAAACTTTGACCCAGAATACAGACAAATATATAGAACTTTATATAAAACAATTTCAGTATGTATTCATGAGGTTAGTTTGTGTGTTCTGTTGGAAGACTAAAAATAACAGCTTCTGTCTGTTTTTACCCTGGATAATTCTGCAAATGTTGCCTTGTTGCTTTGGAACAGAAATGCTCTTACCCAAGAGAGCACTGCCCAGAATTGCATTGACTAAATTGCTTTGAAAGTAAGAAGAGGTCCCAGAGAAACAGGTTTTCTCACATATGCTATCCAGAAAAATGTTAGCAGCATTTTCAGATTTTTCTTTCCTACAGAGATGGATGTAGGAGAGAAGTTGAAAGCAGAAGACTGAGACGTTATGCAATCATTTGTTTACCACAGTAGTATACCTATTTATTAGAATGTATGTGTAGCTTCAAAGTAATGAAAAAAATGTGGGTATTGAAATACACATCACTAATCTATACCTGTTTCTAAATGGCTGAGTACTGCGCTCTCCTAACGTTAAAATATCCAGCCATCAGTTTGTCACTAAATCACTTATACTGGAAACTCTATTTCTGAGCTCCTTCAGTTTGTGTTCTTGGCAAAAAACCTTGATCTGAATTTTCTGTAGCGAAGTGGAGATAAGGAGAAATTGGACTCTGCAAACTGGAGTTCTGCTTGCAGTTAATCAGTAAAGAAATGTCTAAGCATAGGGGATTTCTTGGAATGCGCAGCTGGTTTATCGGAATGTTTTTCATGTAGCGTATCTCTGTGTTAGTACAGACAGTACTTGTGCAGTGATACTTGTCATTAGTGTGTGAGCTTTTCCCTGAGGAAAAATCTGCTTAGGAAAGGGAAAGTAGTGAAAACTACTTGCCTGGCCCTTTGGTCTTAAGAACCAATGAGTTTTGTCATATTCCTGCTGCTTTGGCTTCATTCTGGATAATGGCAGTGCTGACTTCACCTGGCAGCTATGCTTCGTCACCTGCCCATGGACAAAAAATTGAGTAGGGGAAGGGTAGGCATGGTAAATTGGCAGGCAGTGTCAGATGCTCCTCTGAAAGAGATAATCTGACTTCACCTCTTGTTTCTGGAAATAACAAGATTTGGTATTAACCAAACAAAAGACAGAAGGGCTAATTAAGACTTTAAATCTTTAAAGCATCTTTAAAGGTATCTCTAAAGCAGTGGTACTTGATAAAGGTCTCTGGTCTTAATAAATGATTTTTTAACAGCAGCTTGCCTAAATGGATACTAAAAGTACTCAAACTGATTACAGATAAATGTAACTGAGTTAATCCATGGAAATAATTACTTTTGGCATTGGTGAAGGTGAGAGTATTTGGTTCTGTATAAACATGAGATACTGTGCTGTGACTTGTAACTCTTGCTTAGGCAACTATTTAGAAAAGCTTCCTTTTAAACTTGGAAGTCTGTAGATGATGGCAAGTTGTTTAACTTCAGCGGTGGGTTTACAGTTTGTTGTCTTCAAACTCTAACTGTATATAACTTTTCATGTTTCAGACTGAAAGCAGAATTCCAGCGGTACCAGTCATACAACTATAACGATTATTACCAAGATTATCAGAACTACTACTCACAGTGGAATTATGATCCTTATGCTGACTACAACTACAGCTCCTATACTCCCTATGATAGCATGCAAGCTGTTGGAGAATGCTCTTTAGGAGATGCTGTTATGGCTCCAGCTGTTTTTGAGGTAAAGATACTACACACTTGATTTTAAAAAATTCACAAATAACAAGTTGTATGAATTGTATAAGTCAGAGCAAAGAAGTCCTAAAAATGAAATAGTGTTCAGCTTAGCGTGGAGGTTAGATTAGCAGGCATCATTGAAAGCTGTCTTTGAATTAAGTGGTTAAGTAGTTCATCTATAGAATTAGATATTTGTACACCGTTATTTGTTCATATATGCCAAATAACAGTTCTGAAGCACAATTGTATAGGCTTTCTCTCTTCCTAGTTTTGATATATTTTCTTGAAGCAAATTAAAGAATTACTGTAAGATGATCTTATCTGAATTAGCCATTTTATCGATTACAACTTCCAGAAGTCCTTTCCAAGCTGAACTTAAACTATAGTTTTCTAAACAAAGAAACAAACAACCCCCCAACCTAAACAAACCAACAAAATCCCCCAAACTGCTAAAACCCAACAACAAACACCCTGGAAAAAAAAACCTCCCTAACACACACCACCTTCCCCTGCTTATTTTGTAGTTGAGGGAGCAGGAAGTATGAAAATATTTCAGATTTGTGATGATTTTTGAAATGGATTGATTAAACTTTTTTTTTTTTTTTGTAGGAAGCTTCAGCTATGACTGAAATCAATGATGACCTAATAACTGAAGGTAATGATAATTCTATCACTGCAAATTGAATTTAGCCATACTTCTGCCCTTTAACAATACAGCCAGTGACTACTGGATAAACAATGTTTTTGAATATCAGCTGATATAGTAGGATCCTCTGTGGGTTATAACTAAGATGAGGTAGGATTTTAAAGCAAATAGTGTTCACCATGTCAAGTAGAATGGGACACTGTCAACAATAATTCACAGTAGGTTTCTTTGTCTTCATTCTCCTTCCAAAGTGACCTATTAGAGAATTTACCACGTTTGTATAAATTCTGCTAAAATCATTGTACGTTAAACTCATTAATAGGCAAAAGATTGGTTTTCCGAAACCTGAGATAAAAGCTTATGTTGCAGATCTTAAATGGAGGATTCAACTTGCTCTTAAGTTCTGTACAAGATCTTTGTCTGGCCTGTAAGGTTTGTAGACAGTTCCTCACAGAGAGGCATTTGTGTTAGGCAGGATAAAGTTTCTGAATGCTAACATATATTGTGGTAGAAGTTATTTAAATGGATTTTGGTAGATTATCATGGTTAACTATCCTTAAATCTGCACTTTATATTGAAATAGCAGTATAGTCCTAGCATTTTAATACACAGATTCCCAAAGAAACTGGACTTGTTGGGTTTGTTGAAATTCTAGGTGAATAAACATCTTGCTGAATTTAGTATTAAATCTGGTAAATTTGGCTGAAATACATTTTATGAGGCATTTACTTCAGATTTTTGTGTGCAAGCTTTCCAAGATCTAACACTTGTACTTACCAGGCTTTTATTTTCAGATCCACAGCTGTACTTGGATGTTGATGAAATGAACAGACAATTCATGGAGACAAGTGAAGAACTCTATGATGCCCTCATGAATTGTCACTGGCAGCCTCTGGATACGGTCACTTCTGACATCCCCTCTGCTATTTAAGTGTCTTATATAGCATGACCGTTATGACCAAGGTGCTAAAACTACATTTCTTCTACATTACTCTAGATCATAAGTTTTAAAGCACAATGATAGGTTGGGTTTTTTTGCTATGCTTTTGACAGTTTCTGTAATCTTTTTTTTTTTGTTGTTCATCACTTGGAGCATCTTGAAATCATGTAAATATTCTAGAAATGTAAAGAGTTCAATGGGGTCTAAAGATAGACTTGCCTGTGTAAATAAAATTTTGTTTCTGCAAACCTGCCAGCAAGGGATTTTACTTACATGTGTGAAACACATTCTCTTCTGGCCTGTTGAATTTAGCTGGAGGCAGTAGGAGTAGTTCACCTGTCTTTGGTATGGGCAGCAGGACTAGCAAAAACTAGCTCTCACATACTTCCAGGTTACCTAGGCAATCTTTTACAAGCTCTTAACACACTTCATCTGTACAGTTTTAACATACAGAAGGGCAAACTTTCAGCAGTCATAGCTGCAAACATTCCAAAGACTAAGGATGATACCTACTGATAATTTTATTTCTGCATTTCTTGTTAATCTTCTCAACTGATGCTGTACAGCAAAGAAACTGGTGTAACATAATGTGTTCTTAAACCTGAAAATCCTTGGAGAAGACTTTGGTTTAAAGGAGGAAGAGTAACCCATCAGGAGTTATAGTATACTATATATACTATATTATATATATATATGTAGTATGTGTATATATATATATATACACACTATATATATATAGTATATATAATATATATACTATACTATATATATATATACAAACTATGTATACTATATAATATATGCTATAGTTATAGTTATAACTAGTAACAACTCTTCAACCAAGTTGCACCCTATCCTAAACATCTGTTACTTGTTCAGTCTTCATGCTCAGAGGTTCCATAGTGATGAGGTTATAAATCTTAGGACGACAGTGCTCAGTATTCAAAGGAGATTAGGGGAGATGGCAATGAAGAATGTTCTGCTTTAAGATAGCAACTTCTGAGTGGCTTCCTCTAAACTGTTACTATCTGGTGTTTTCCAGTCATAGGGACAACTTAAGCTCCTGTGTATCGAAAAGTATTTACTGCTTAATGTACACAATAAAGTAAATTTAGGCTGAAAACAGAAGAATACTCTTTGAAGAGAAAAAGGTAGAAGGCATCAGATAGCTAATAGCCATGAAAGCTACTAAAGCTAGTCAAGTACTTTGGGGTACTGCCATGTGTGTTTTGGGGGCAGTCAAAACTGTAATTGCCAGAATAGCAGATAGGAATGAAGACCTCTGGCTTTTTTTTTTTTTTTTTAATGACTTAATTACATTAAAGGGGTGGTCATAACCTGTATGCTGTTCTTAAATGTGAAACTAATACTGCATTGCAGAGTGATGACCTGGCAGAGGAGGTCACTTCTAGCTGCTCACCACAATCTCCATGTTTTCTTTTCATAGTTTAGTTCCAGCCAAATTTGTTTTTCAAAGCTCCACTCATGAAACGCAGATGCTCTAAACTAGAAAAGGGTTTTAGAAGTTCATTCTTCCTGGATTTTGTACAGATGTGTATGTAGAGAGAAAACAAAAATATTCATTTAGGCAGGGAGCATATTATCACAGTTTCAGCAACTGTTTCCCTGCTTTGAAGAGAATTAGTTGTGAGGTGGCTGGAAAGTGGGCTTTCTAAGGGGAAGATTTCCCTTGTGTGAACTGGTCAGTCTTCGGAGGATGATAGTAGGGAAATTATTGATGGGAAGATGACAGAAAGTGGAATAAATGAAGCAAGGATCTGGATTGGAAAGGGAGTACTTGTGAATGTGTAGATTTGTTTCAGGAGACTGCAGAAGGGGGGGGAACTTCAGATAGTAGGTGCAGGCCCCTTGATTTTGGATAGGAGCGTTAAAGCTTCACACTGGATTTGATGCCACTTCAGTTGTAGTGCATAGCTGTGTAGCTTGAGCTTGGTACTATGAAGATGTTGCTAAGCAAAGGGGTTTGTATCTAGCAAGCACCATCATCGCAAGCAACAAGACAGCTTCCAGGTCTGAACCTGGGTTATATTCTCCTTTGAAGTGCATATCCTGCTTTGCATACTGTTATGTAACACCATACCGAAGTTGCAGCAGGTAATTTGTGGAAACCTTTTGTTGTGTTTCCAGTTTAAAAATGCGATGCTGAAGGTGTATGTTGGTTTGGTAGAACTGCTATGGAGTATCTGCTGATTTTTGGCATCCAGGAGGTTGATCTGTGTGTGAACTATGTAATGAGGGGCCCACGTAGCTGCGTGATTTCACTTAGCATCGCATAAACCTCAAAGTCAGTCCGTAGCCACCACATTTACGCAAATTTTTCATGTTAACAAAGTCTCTATGCTTTGCATTAAACTGTTTTCAGACATGCATGCGCCTTCTGTTCTGGCCTGTAAAGTATCCATATAGGGAAAATACTGTTATGAAATGCACTGAAAGAGGTTGTTTGGGCCATTAATTCTGCACACTTGAGAAATGTTGGGGAACATATTTTCTTCTAGTCAACATACAAGAAAAGAGAGGTGAGGAAGGGAGTCTGCTGGTTGCAGCCCATGTCATACCCGTTCTAAAGTAGCTCTCTGTCTTCTGTCTCCTGAGCCTTACTAGCCTATCCTGCTTTCCAGTTAGGAGTGCATATATGGGATCAAGATGTGTGTGGAGCACATTCTTTACTGTAAAGGCATACTGAAAAAGCTTTTTCCTGCATGAGTGTAAGTCCAAATTCAGGAAAAAGTGAGCACATTGGAACTGATGGAATGCATTGCTGAGACTTTTAACTGAGGAAACCTACAGCTCTGGTGCTGCCTGCAATAGCTAGCTTGCACCAAGACCTGAATGTGTACATCATACATATGTCTGCTATCAGTTCTACAAAGATCTGATTGCAGTAGAAACATAAAAGAAAATATTGGAAGCAATGTTTTCAACACCACACTATTTCACTTTGTCCAGTTTTGTCTGTTTTACCTAGCTGAAATGTTGTGGGTTTGTTTTTTTTTTTTTTTTTTTAAAGTCTGATGAAGGTTTGGTTTTTTTGGATATTTAGCGTTGGTTTTATAAACTCTTTATTGTACCTAGCTGTGATAGATAGTGCCTTTACCTAAAACCTGCTAATTTCTTGAAGAAGAGCAATGTTTTTGTTTTCCATCACTTCTCTGAACAGAAAAGCTTTAGTACCATGGTTTGAGGGGCTATTGATCCTGCAGTCAGTGAACAGGGAGAAAAACAGGCTAAAAAAAGGGCGAAGAGTATTTAAAAGGGTACAAAAAGGTTAAATGGTACTTAAGCCGTGAATGTTTCTTTTTGCAGGGATGCTCTTGGACCAACAGCTTCTTTCTAGCGCTACCTCAAAGTAACTTGCAGATATAACTCACAGGGAAGATTGATCAAATGGTGATGATCACTATCATTCTGCTGGAGATATATATATATTTGCCTTTTGTTTTGTCTCATTTTTAATGACACTTATTTAATTTCAGTGACTCATGTCAATAGACTTTGTTTGACTCCATCGACAAGTATTTCTGAGTCATGAGTTTCATTAAAGGCATGTCACCATCTGGAAATTGTTCTAAATAAGTAAAATGGAAGTAAAATAAGTAAATAAAGAAGCACTTGAATTTACAGAGCAAATGTAGTGTAGCTGCCTTTGACACATACTTGGAAGGGAATATTGCGATTACAGCTTATCTTAATATACTTGGCATACATCAGAAAGAGGGGAAACTTGTTTCATGTTTGCCCAACTCCTCCATGTCCAGCACAGGAGGGAGTTTAGTCAGTTCCCCACACAGGTACCACTTTAGAAGCCGGCATTGTTCCTAAGGAGTGTCTGTTACCAAAGGGCACTCTTCATACCCCTTCGTAAATCCTGCTCTTCCCATAACAGAAATACATTATGATGCCCTTCCTTCCTCTCCTTGAAGTTTGAAGCTAGCATGCTACTTGGTTCCTGGAAAGAGTTACAAATCCAGGCTAAAATACTACTTTTTTTTTTTTTTTTTTTTTTTTTTTTTTTTTTTTTTTTTTTTTTTTTTTTTTTTTTTTTTTTTTTTTTTTTTTTTTTTTTTTTTTTTTTTTTTTTTTTTTTTTTTTTTTGTATTTTGATGATTATACAAATGTAGATCTTGAATTGTAGAATCTTGTATTGTAGAAACAGTGTCATCCCAAAGTTAGTCATCATATGTTGCACATGGGCAGTTTACACAAGATGAGGTGGTTCTTGCAGGTGACTTCTAAACCCTCGTGTTCCACGTTCTGGAAAGGATCCTCTGTAATTGTGAGTCATCCCATGCAAGTAAAATTGTATTTACAAGGGTGGGGCAGGAGGGGAGGGGTCTGGAGTTCCAAAGGTGTAGGTCATGAGAAGAAATACCTGGAAAGTACCCTGTCTGGGGTTTTTGGAAATGGCTATTTCCTTTAGATAATAATGAAAACAGGACTGAGAAGTTGAGGAGTTAAGTCAGATAGGAGAGCTGGGAAGGTATGATGAGGTTAAAAAAAGTATGAAACAGAGCTTGGGCAGCACAGAATTCCCCAGTAATATTTCTTCTAAAAGCTGTTCCTCCTCTGCTGTTGCTGCTGGTTTATATTTCTGCAGGCCTTCAGAATTGCCCTTGCTGGTTTGAGACCCCCCGTAATTCTCCCCACCACTCCCAGTTCAGCATTCTTTCTTGAGGTGTGTAGTGGAACAAATGTTTTTATTTTTTGGTGGGTGTATGTGGTACATCACAGCTCTCCACAGTTAAGTACTTGGGCCTCACGCTATGTTAGTCAATTTTTAGTACGTTTGGGTTTTTGTTTTCTTTTTAAGGGTGAGCATTTTTATTGACTTGTATGTAGGGAAGGTGCTCTTGATTTTCTGCTCTGCTCCGTGATTCCCAAGACAGGTGAATGCTAAAAATAAGATGCAGAGCCATAGATTTTTCTCAGCTGTAGTTTCAGTTGAATTAAAAAAAACAAAAACCAACACAAAGCCAAAACAAAACACTTTTTTACATATTTAAACTCTGTAATAGGAATGCACTCTTCCTCATGTTTTGAGGAGGACAAAGCTATGTCGAAGCATTTCCCCCCTACCTGCTCCCGACCTGACAAAAACGGGCGACGACAAACCTGCACCATCACAGTTCCCATTGCTGACACAGACGCAATGGATATCGGCATCCCGGGGGAATACCGCAACCCCCTGGTGCCGTTTTTCCTGCCGCGTTCCCCATGCTGCCCTTCGCCGGCTCCTCAGCAGGAACAAGGGAATATCTGCCCCACCGCCGTCCCTCGGGGCAAGCAGACGGCGGGCAGGTTGTATTCCCGAGGCGGGAATAGTGTCTGGGCCGCCAGAGCATTCAAGTATCCGAAGAGTGGGTGCCAAGAGGACGGATCCGGGCTACTCGTGGTGGTGCCCAGCAATAGGACGACAGGCAGTGGGCAGAAACTGATGCACAGGAAGTTCCACCCGAACATGAGGAAGAACTTCTTTACTGTGCGGGTGACCGCGAGTGGAACAGACTGCCCAGAGAGAATATGGAGACCCCCCCGCTGGGGATATTCAAGAAGTGTCTGAATGCAATCCTGTGCCATGTGCTCTGGGACGACCCTGCTAGAGCAGGGAGGTTGGACCAGATGATCCACCACGGTCTCTTCCAACCTACCCCATTCCCTGTGAAGCGCCGTGGGAAGAAGGGAGAAGGTGGAGGAGCCACAAGCGCCGCCGCCGCCTCCGGGGCTCACCCTGGCACAAACCTTCGCTCCCAGCCTTCGAGTGGTCCCTGAGCCGCGCCCGGGAGCGGACCTTCCCTTCCCTCCACCGCGTCCCTCTGCGGGTGGCGGCAGAGCCCAGCGCGGGATTTTCCCGCGCAGCCTGCCCGGCCCGGCCCGGCCCCTCCCTCCTTCCCGCTCTCCCGGGAGCGGGGCCGGCGCGCGCGGGGGCTGCCGGGCCCTCCCGGCGCCGCCGAAGTGACGCGCCCGCGCGGGCTAGTGACGCGCGTGCACGGCCCGGGGCGGCCGCGGTGTGGTTGGTCGGCGGGAGGCCGGGCCGTGGGGGAGTTGCTGCGGCGGCGGCGGCGGCGGCTCGGGCCGCGGGCGGGCGGGCGGGCGGGCAGGCGGGTGGGCAGCGCAGGGGTCCCCGCCGCCGGGCGGGAGCGCGCGAGCGAGGAGCGGCAGGAGCGCCGAGGGGCGGGAGAGCGGGAGAAGGGGAGAGGCGCGCGAGCGCGCGCGCGGGGAGGGGCGGGGCGCAGGCCGCCGAGGAGCCCCCCGCGCGCGCGCGCCAGAGGCCGCGCGCGGCGCGTGGCGGGCGGGAGCGGCGCGGGGGGAGCGAGGCCGGGCCGGGCCGGGCGCGTCCCCGCGGGGCCCGTGACGGTGACAGCGCGGCCGGGCCGCGGCGGGGCTGCGCGGCCGCACCTCCACCACCAGGAGCAGGAGGAGGAGGCCGCCGGCGGCGGCCGGATCGCATCATGGCCTCGGGTGGCAGCGGCGGCGGCGGCGGCAAGATCCGGATCCGGCGGCACCACCTGGGAGCCGGGAAGCCACCCTACACGAGGGGCAAACAGCAGGTGAGGCCGCGGGTCAGCCCGGTGAACCCCTTTCCCTGCACCCGCTCCTCTCCCCTGGCTCCCCCTCAGCGGCGGGAGGAGGCGCCCCGGAGGCCCGGCCCGGCCCGGCCCGGCGGAGCCACCTCTTCCCTGCCCCCCCCCCCGCCCTCCACAGGGCCCCACGTGCGCCGCTGCGGGCCGGCATTTCCCGGTGGAGCGGCCCGCGGGGAGGGAGGAGGGAAGGGTTTCCCGCCGGGGCCGCGGGGATTGTGGGATTTCCGGGCGCTCGCCCCGCTCCGGCCCCGCCGGCCCGCGAGGGGCTCCTCGCCTCCCCTTTGTCTCCCGCCTGTCCCCGCTCGGCAGGAGCGAAGGCGGGAGGAGGAGGTGGCGGCTGGGAAGGGGTAGGTGCGCATTCTCTCGCCTGGCGAATGGAGCGGGCTGGCTCCCGCTCTGCGGGATGCTCGTTTTGTCTCCGGGCTGCCCGGCTAAATCCTGGTTAAATTGGTTTAAATTGCGTTACCAAGTGTAGTTACTCTTCAGATTTAACTACATCGCTTCCAGTGTTTGCTTTTTTGGCGAATTCCATATTGTGGATGATTCTGTGAGGGTGCTGGGTAGCTAGGCATCTTCCATTGTTTTCTTTTTTTTTTTTTTTTTTTTTTTTTTTTTTTTTTTTTTTTTTTTTTTTTTTTTTTTTTTTTTTTTTTTTTTTTTTTTTTTTTTTTTTTTTTTTTTTTTTTTTTGTAGGGTTCTGCCTGCAGAACCTTTAGGTCTGCATTTAGTCGTTTTTTCGGTGTCTTGCCTGTGCTTAAATGTGCAGTGCAACTGAAATGTAAACCTAAATCATAAGGCATTTTTTCCTCCTTTGTATTGTAGGACAGAGTTAGATGGATTAAAAAAACCCCAGTGTTTGTAAATTGTGATACAAAGATCCTGCACCATCCAGAGTGATACAGGGGGAAGAAGCAAAGATCCTTCCCATCTGCTGTTTGCCAAGAAATTTCAAGATGCCCAGAGACAGTGCTCTGGAAATGCCTTCCACGTGTATTTATGAACCTGAGATTGACTGTTCAGCCAAAACGCTTACACGATTAAATCGGTAACATAAGATAGGGGATTGAATATTATATACAAAATTGAGGGAGTGTTATGCACGAGTTGTTGTCAATTAGTTTTTATTATTTGGAAACTCCTGTAGTCAGTCTTTCCTATAGTGAACTGATCAGCAGTGTCCTTGTAAAGCTGGCAAGGGGATGCTTCATCCAAAGAATCGCTGTACTTACAGAGGAAATGTTGAAAGTTCCTATGTAAACGACATAAGGATAACATTTAAATTGCAATATATTGTATGTGTTGATTCTATGTAAATAGCTGGTAAACCTCATGCATAAATTTAAAATAATTGAGGTAGATGGTTTCCTGACTCTTCTATTGTTTGTTGTCTCTGTGTGTTTTCCAGTAGGTTTATTTAAACAATGTGCCAAAGCAAACACGTGCTTGGGGATATCTCTGGGATTCTGCCCAGAGAATGGGTGCTGCAAATCGAATACACAGACCAAATTAACAAGTAATATATTTGGGGAAATATGTTAAATAGGAAAACCAGTAGGTGTCAGATATGTGCATTTGTTACAACTGATAGCTTTTTTAACCCTGTGCAGGTTGCTAACTTGCATTACATAAAAAGATGAGCTCTAGGTAGATAACTGACTTATACTGAAATTAATTGAAGTGCTTGTATTTTCAGTACAACATGCACTCTGCAGAAGTATTCTGTGGTTTGGTGTTGTCTCTCAGTAATAAGTTTGGGAAGACATGAAAGTGCTCAGTGCAGTTTTGATATGAGGTTATACCCCTGATTCTGAACACCTGCTCCCCTAATTATTATCAGTAAAGTAAGTTCATAGAAATACTTTATTAGAGCTTTTCTAGATGCTTGCAGTCAAGACTGCAGTCCTGAAAACTCTGTCTCATCAAACTCTGAAAGTGCCTAAGCACTGTACGCTAAAAGCTTTAAAGTTCCTACGATATCTAGTTTTTTTTCCACTTGAATGAGAGGTGAGTAGCACGATGCCAGGCTTACAATTGTAAGCCTGGTGTCAT